CGAATATCCGATTTAAGAGCAGAATTTAAACACTCTAACAGTGTATAATTTCTACATAGAACAATTTTATGTGATATGCTATGATGATGAGCGATAAATTGTACTCGAAATATCATCAGTAAACGATACTGTATCAGGATAGGGTTTTTAATCAAATAAAATTATTTTATGATGGATACCTTATCATTGACAAAAAAAGATAAAATAATTATTGACTAACTGTCTTACGCCTGTGGATGAATTTAAACCAACAGACCTACTGCAGTACAGTAAGTTGGAGAGACGTATAAACACCCATGTTGTAATCTTAGTAAGATTAATCTTGGTAACTACATTTTATTGTCTGAATTTTACGCTTAGCTTTTCCAAACAAAAGTGTCAAATAACCATATAAGTTACAGTTACTTATGCGGTTCTACACTGACTTGTACTTCCGAAGACTGGACTACATATCACAGAAAACACACTATTCACTAACTGGACATTCATCAGATAAAGGTGGGAAGGGGGGGGTTCAAACGTAAAAACTAACCATATACGATTCACATATCTAAACAATTGACGGACAGGGGATCGTATTGTAACGACAGAAGACAAGGGCAAGGTAGCATAGATCATTTATTGAGAAAATCAATAGATATTTACCGATTCTTATGTACATTATTACTAGCGTTATTGTTAACAGAGAAGCAATGTCTTCTGATTGGTTGTTTTCCTGTTGAAGGTTATTCTGTCATCTTTTTGTGGCCGTTTCTTAGAAAGTCAGACCATATATCTGCGAATCGTATTTGTACACGTTAAGTCTGCTGTGAGTGGTTGGTGAGTTCCTCAAGGTAAGGCTTTGTTATTGTTTTTTTGTCATAACCCCGATTCGGGACGTATATTGCTGTCTACCGATTTTGGCTAGCAGACAGCTCTCACCAGTATTACATTACGACACGAAAAAATGATAAAGGGACCAGATATTTACATTTTGAAGACATAATCATCAGTATGGCCTCCAAGTTATCTTGAGGATGCATTGGCATTATATGATTGGGAACAAGTACTGTAAGATTTTGGCCTCGATAACCAAAATTACATAGTGATATTCAGCACTAGCAAACCGAAACCGAAATTTATTTACAACTCAGTACAAATTTATGCATAACTATTTTAGTTACTTTTTGTTACTGTAGGATGTAAACCAAACAGGTAACTTCACAAAAATCATTATAATGTGTTTATTCAGTTCAACACATTAATAAAAGTGACTGCTATCTTCTTTCAACTGAAGGCTTTATTGTTAAAATATTTATTATTTCTTACCTCGCACTAACTCAGTGTTGCTTTATGCTACATGTTTATTTACCAATTTTTGTTTCCTTCACGTTCCACAGTGGAACATAGGGCTTCAAGCTAGTTGACTTGAAGTTTCTGTAGCAGTGTTTATTTTACAGGATGGGGTTGCTAGCCAGCCTCATGCTCAACTTTTCCTCTTTACTAGCATTATTTCTGGCTTAGCGAGGTAAAGGAGTGTGTTTGGGTGGCCGGGGATCGAACCCCGGACCATGTGCATGGTCGGCGAGCGTCCGATGATGATTGCACTCAGAAAAATGCAATTTTTCCAATGAGTTCAGTTCACACAGAATGAATGTCAGCTGCAATATGCTGAGTGTGTTAACCTGGAGAAGGTTTGCTAGGTTTAATCGCTCAAATAATAGTGATATCGAGAGAGAAAAAAAGTAAAAGTTTGAATAAAAGCAAAAACGACAAATGTACCAGGATAATCTGAGCTCACGTTCCTATTTTTTATTATTTCGTGCATTCTTCTCAACTGATGGTTACAACCTGAATAATACCAAAATTATAAATTAAATTAAACATCTGAACATACTTGTTTTTTTTTACAATAATAGGGAGTTTACTATTGATTGCAACTAAGAGTGACATTGGTCAGGAATGATGTAAGTTGTTAAGTAATTAAGAGTGAAAAGTATTGATTATTTATGAGAGAATTGCATGACTAAGCTTGGAAACATAAGGACAGAGTTCAACATGTGTTTTGTGAGTAGAAACGAAGTTTAACTAGAAAGAGTTTAAAAAGTAGTAGGTTACTTAACCACATAAAAACACGTTTTTTTTAAAATAAGCAAAAATGGGGGGGGGGGAGTAGTATGAGTGATGTTTGGACAAAAAAAAACACGGTTTCTTAACAGGACAGAAGATAATGTAGGGAAATCTGTATGCTTTGCTATCACTAAGACAATGCAAGATTCACCACTGTCTCTTTCTGCGTACATTGATTTGGTTTTAGCCGTTTGATGGCAATTACCTCAGCAAAACGAAGCAGGCTAGGTTTCTTTTGTTTATTGTTCATTTTGAACGCCTTCAGATTGTTCACAACATAACCAGTGTCCAGTAGATGGCATACAATCGCACTGTTTATTGCTTCTGGGTCCTTTATTCTCAGGTTCTTTGGTATAGTACTGAGTCGGTTGAATTCTAGCAGTGAAGTTTGCACTGTGGCCACCATGCTAGGATATGTGCCATCATGGTGAACTCAAAATTATTGTTTATTAGATGGTTGGAAGCAATCAGCAGGAAGCTTGACTGCAGCACTGGGTGACGCGGGTTCTAGTCTCAGAAGGGATATAAGTTCCTTCAAGATTGCAGATACGCCTTGCTGACGAGTGCCAACAAGCAGGAAACCTAGGTTCAAGGCTTTCTACCGATTGCCATTAACCATCTAAGAAATCTATACTCTGTTGGAAATTTATGCTTAATCACTAACAGTGAAACGTGTTCAGTGTGGTAGGCGAGATATAAATTTCATGTTAATTTGTTCGCTATATTTATCATAAAGTAGTGCAGTATCATTAACTGGAAAAACTTTTTGGACATAATTATGTTTTAAAAGTCACTTTGATGATTTGGTCTGACTGGACCTGACTATTTTATTGAGGTATTTTCAAAAAAACCTATTGATCAAAAGAGCTAACTAACGGCATCAATGAAAATTGAATGTGTTAAGATCACCATTGGAATATAGTACGAGCTATATAGCACCGTCCCTACCATTTATGTCAGTCATCGCCCCAATACTGATTCGGAGATGTACACTTCCCAATGCAACTTGAATTGGAGAAATAAGATGTGCGACCGGTTAGGACGCTCGCCGACCATGCACATGGTCCGGGGTTCGATTTCCGGCCACTGACACACTCCTTTACCTCTCTAAGCCAGTAATAAGACTGGTAAAGAGGGAAGGTTAGGCATGAGGCTGGCTAGCAACTCCATCCTGTAAAATAAACACTGCTACAGAAACTTCAAGCCACTAGCTTGAAGCCCTATGTTCCACTGGGGAAAGTGAATGATAAAACAAAATATACAGATAATAAAAAAATTGATTAACAAACGAAGATCTGAGCGATGCATTAGAAAACTGATAAGAAATTGATTCAGGGATTTTGGCTTTCTTTGCTCAACAAGAGGAGAGCTACGAATACTTGTCAGGAATGAATTTCAGAAAAGAGATGTCAATAATTGTCTTCAAACATTCGAAGGACTGAACGATAGGTCACTTTAGGGATAAAACAATGCAATGTACGTTTCTTATGAAATTGCAAGTTTTAACAAGCCAATCTCTTTAAAAAAAACTATCTATACAGAGATTGTTGAAAACAGAAGTTTGAGAGTTTGTAGGCAGTTTATTTGAATGACGCTATTTGCTTGATGGTAGTTAGCAGTGCAATGTGGGATGCAAATTTCGCCCTGTTTGGAGCCCGTCGCCTGGAACAAACGGGTATCCCAATGAGTGATAGGGTTCTCATTGTGACTCAGACGCAGAACGCATCAGTTAAAACGCCAGAACGTTAACCACTTGGGCACAGCAGCCATGTCTTGTAGGATGGGCATTAAAATAAGCTTTACAGAAAACCAATTTCATGTTTGAACGGAACTCCTATGAGTCTAATATAGTTGAAGCCATCCAATATAATGCACTTACTTTGCTTAGGCTCATTTATGTCTCAAGGCATTAGTTTTGTAGCTTATACTAATTTCGAACAAAAACATGATTGACGTCTAGGCCTTATTCATCCAACTGACTCTGTAAAATTGTTGCGAGGAATTTGAATTTCATGTTATTCAAAGGAGGGATATTTTAGAAATCCACTTTTTATATCAGCCTTGTGTAATAAAAATCCGATTAAAGAGATTTTTTTATCTACAAATAAGTAGGTGTGATTCGAAAATTTCTGGTGACAAAGAGACATGACCAATCATTCGACATACAATATAAAGAATGGCAAAGTTCAACGATAATAGCCAAATCTACAGTGAGCTTGAACGACCAATCAGAATTCAGATGCAAAAAAGTCACGTCATCGTTGAAAATTACACTAGAGAAATATGGCGAACATGGTACTACACTGTATAATTGTAGCTTATGTGTTGTACGAATGTCTCCCAGTCACTACACAGATGATCTATAGACAAATTGTACCGTGCGCAATATATGCATTCAAGTGTTGGTTCTATATGCATTCATCCAAGTGACTGTAGATCACGGCACTTTGAGATCTATTGATATGTCTGAAACTATTCTTCAACCTAGTCCTAACCCTAACTAACTTTGACCATAGACCCTAAACCTTAATCTTAAAAGCCATAACCCTACCTAACAGTATAGATTTGGAGCAAAAGTACCTAGTAAATAAGTAGAATGCTGTATATACCCTCTCCAAGTCCAAAAGTGCAGACATGATTTGATTCGCAATGACATTTCATAACACTCTCTGTATTTAATCGGCTCTTGAAGGTTAATTTTTGAAGACCTCGACTTTGACAATGATACTTCAACTTCGCCCAAAGGATGTTACAATTTTATGCAATACAAATATGTTACTTATAAGTAGGCAGGAAATTAGCTCAAAAAAATAAAGTCAATCAATAATGGGCACGTTTAGTAATGGAAGCAAACTTAGATAAATAAAAACAGATAAAAATTGGGAACGTACATGCATTTTCCGGTAAGGGGGATAATGTCCTTTCGTCAATTATGCAGCGTTTCTTTGAAATAGGACTTCGTTCAGGTGACGTTTGGACATCATTAATCTTTAAGGAATTCGAGGAAGTGGTTTTATTCTTACGAATAATTAGTTTAGTTGAATGAGAAGCAGGACCATTGAACAATGCATTGGAGGGTGATCTGTGTGAACCACGGTCTTCTTTACACTCCACAACCGGGGGTGAAACTTTCGGATGTAAAATACTTAATGGAAATAAACCTAATTCATCAATCGCCTGAGCAATCTTCTTTTCTACACGATATGATGAACTGACACGAAATTGTTTAGCTATACTTTTAAGTGGTTGGCTGGCAAGTGTAGTGAGTGTGTTTGGATCAATTGACAAGTCACGATTAATTGAGACAGCAGCTCCAGAGGATGACGGATTCACTTGTGAATAATGCATAGTAGTATTTGACGAATGACCACCATCATTAACACCATTTACATGAAGAGCTTCAGTTGATACACTGCCATAATCTGAACCACTAGGATCAGTGCATGCTGAACAATTATCTTCAACTTCATTATTTGAGTTTGCTTAATGAAGAGAAAAGAAATTATCAGGTAAATAAATATAAAGATACTAGGGTATTTTATTAATACACATATACTCCCTGGTTTTCAACGGTTCTCTAACTGATATCAATCTGTGATCAACTCGTAAAAACATAACTAACCCTTACAAACCAAACTATAGGAAATTAATCTGATGCTCACCAGTGACTGACTTGCTACAGGATGGAGTTTCCTGGAGTTCTAGTGAGAAATCGTGACCAGTGAGTTCCAATTAGATGTCACGTGTGTGGATGGATGTCCCACCAACTACAATGGTTGGGGTCGCGCTAAATCACCAATAGGTAGAAGTTAGAATTCATGGGATGGCCATTGAATCGGCTCCAGTGGCTGAATAGTATACGAGCTTGCCTTGTAACCGGAAGGTCCTGGGTTTGAATCCCAGTGGGTGCGTACTGCCGATGATTCCCAAAACTAGGATGAAACAGCTGTCCAGTACTCCGTGCTGGTTTTCAATGGTTCTCTAACTGATATCAATCCGTGATCAACTCGTAAAAACATAACTAACCCTTACAAACCAAACTATAGAAAATCTATTTTAGTAACTGTTGAGTGAGATGATGAGTGGAAGCAGATGGAAATAAAGTGAAATATATGATCAACTAAATTTTTCATTTGCAAATTACACAGCCCATGGATGAAATCCATCATGATTTCCATTGGGAGCCTAAAATATTCACTTCATTATATATTTTTCTTGATTACAGCTTGATTCCACATCGTATTTTTGGTACAGGTATGGAATTTTTAGCATGTGATATCGGTAGCCCAAATTTCGCAGGCCGACCATTGATATTAAGGTGTGCGTTGACAGGGGATCGAACCCCGGACCATGTGCATGGTCAGCGAGAGTCCTAACCGCTGCGTCACCGACGTAGTTTCTTTGATACCAAAAAAAAAATTGGTAATCAAGAAAGCGAGATTGATATGATTAGTTGGAAACCATTACTGTCAACCAGTATATCGCTTGGTAGCCAGACCGAAGTGATCTAAACTTCAGACGACCAGTTTGCTTATTTGGAGTCAAGCTCATCAGCGGCATACATAGCTAGACTCATTTTAAACTAAGAGAGACGGTGATACATGTATATGTATAAAGATGAAAGCTTCGCAACTAAATCATCCAGCTTAACTACACTGAAAAAGTATGCTGCTAATGACAGCAAAAGACAGTCACTCTAACCGGTAACCTTTACACCTGTACACAAAACCTAAATTTACAGGTAATGCATTAAAAATGAGAATCCTGGTGGTGGTTGATGAAACATATTTTTTTATTAGTTGTCCGACCTAATGTTGTAACAGAGATGATTGTCCCATGTAAACATAGTTTAGCTTGACTACTTCTAGCTACAATCACTTGATGTATGAATAACTCCAACGTAAAAGGTGCTGTATTCAAGAGTTACAGTTTATTGACACTATCCTTCCTCTCTAACCAACCTACTATTGTTGAATTAATTGTTCCGCATTTTCTTATGTTTTTCTTTGTCAAACTGATGTGCAATGTAGTAAATCTTATGCCGCTAATAATTTCCTAACTTCTATAGTAAATATAACCTACAGTTTCTTACAATATTAGCGAATACTGTATATTCGCACTTTTCAAATATCAATTCAGCAAGTTGCTAGGACCAAAAAAATTATTTGTTAGTTATTTAGAACTGGAATAGTAACCGTATTACCCATCACCATTCTCCTACATTAAAGTCTTGCTATTTCTTATGAATTCGTTTTGTTTGGGAATTACCTTTCAGGCGCGCAATCAAATTATCAATATGAAGTCAGTGTCCCTCAGGGTGTTGTTCCCTCTCCTCTTCTTTCCTTCTTCTTTCATGATTTTCCTTTTCCGGAAGAGAACCACTTCGATGAATACGCTGATCACCTGACTGTCTCGTTGTCAGTTATTACCCGATTTGGGTGTTCCAAACTGAATAACCTTTTGTCGGATATAAGGAACTCGTGTAAGTTAAGTGGTCTTACGTTAAATCCTTCCAACTGTCAGATTGTTAACTTCAACTGCAAGCATAAACAACATGATCTACACGAACTGGTTCGTCCACATGAGCGCACTGAAATAGAAACTAACTCAAGCATTAAATACCTTGGAATGGTTCTTTCCTCTGCCCTTTCTTGGTCATCACATATCTTGTTGATTTCTAAAAAAAGTGGTTTTGTTTAGCCTTTTCTACATTAAGAAGTCAGGACAATCAGGTATCGTATCACTCAATCTCTACTTTCGCACTTTTTTTAATTCCTTCATCTTACCTATTGTTTTTTATTGCTCCCCCCCCCCTAATTCTTTCCTGAGCTACTCAAGTAGGACTGTGTGTCATATTACGAAGGATAATAAAGACTATCCAATAGGGAGAGTGGTGTGCATTGAGTCACCTCGTTACCATTGTAGTCTACAGACATTTGAACTCATTAGAGAAATGAGCAAAAGCCATACTGTCTGTCTGTCAGCACCTCTTTATTCACAACTCTCCCTCTGCATCTCATCAGAAATTATTATATGCTCGCATAAACTAAGTACAAAACTCAATGATACCCCCCAATTGACCGTCATCCTCTATGTGGTGGAGAATGTGTCAAGTGTGAAAGTTATAATTTACTATGTAATCAGAAAATTGAATGGCTCTTTGATCTTGTCCTGATTTTTAAAATTTATGCTGACAGTATTCCTATTATTTTATAATTTTAGTTATTTTTATTATCATTTTATACTTTATACTGTACATTATTTTTGACTTTATTGTTGTACCGTTAACATCAAAAAGGTCATTGTTATCAATTTTGTCTGCATGTACCATGTAGTGTTGTTTTTTTATTGTTTTGAGCAAGTTAGATGTAATGTTGTACTAAATGCTGAGAATTCCACGCTGTTTTGGAATAAAGCAAATCACTTGCAATTAATAGTGTTCACACACAAGTTACACACACACAGAACACAAATCAGCCGTGAAAAGACACGATATATATTCTTTAGTATCAATGCATATAGGCAATTATGGACATCAGTTTGATTGGGATAATGTCAAAATCTTAGACAGGGGAAACACTAAAAGTATCAGGTACTCAAACGAAAATGCAATTAACAAACACGTTAATATAGACCAAATATATCAACTAATAAAAAGTAAATCAGGTGACCAGAAAGTTTAAACTCCAAGTCAATAGAAAAATGATCAATACATATGTAAAGATGGTTACCAGGAGACGCAATTATATCACTCATGAAGAAATTTAAATCATTTCACTTTATGCTAAATATTGCGCTGGAGATGTTGTCCAGCAGGGGGACGACGAAAGCTCCGCAACTAAACCAACCAGCTCAGAGAACACTAATAATTGCAAATCATCCACCTGAGCTACAAATCTTCTCTATTAAAACAAATCACTGCTGCTCTTATTGTTACTATTAATTACTACATAGCTAATCTCAGTTAAATCCCCTTTCCCTAAAAAGTTAAAAAAAGTAAAATAGGACGACAAAGGGTCCCTTATATGTAAAGGACATAAAAAATAACTGCCAGTAGAATTCTAACCAACACATATATCCAGTTAGGAAGTATTATTATTTTCTTGATCATAGCTTGATTTCACAGCGTATTTTGGTACAAGTATGGAATTTTGTAAGCCGACCAATTGATATCAGGTGTGCGTCGGCAGGGGATCGAACTCCGGACTATGTGAATGGCCGGCGAGGGTCCCAAACACTGTGCCCCTGACGCTGGTTTCGGAAGATTTGATATGAGGTCACATTATTATTATTGTTTCCTTGGGTTCCTAGTGGAACATTGGGCTTCAACTGCACGCCTCCGCTTGCTTCTGTCTTCTGCTCTACTTTTCACTTGCATCCATGTTAATCCATACTGTTGCAACTTCTCTTCACACGATCTCCTCCATGTCACCCTTGCACCGACGAACCACTCACCGCTTCACTTTCGGGTTCCACTCGAGCTATAGCCTGACGCGCGATGTCACCCAGTGGCCTCCTCAACGAATGTCCAATCCATCTCCACCTTCTCCTGCATATTTTTTGAGTGATTGGTTCTTGTTTTTTTTGCTCCCATAGTCTCTTGTTGGTGATTCTTTCCGGCCATCTGATCTTCAATATAGAGCGAAGACAGTTGTTGATAAAGGTTTGCAACAGGCTGTTGGAAATATTCTTTGTGACACACTGGCCAAGTTTCTGATCCGTATAGAAGAAGTGACTTGACGTTTGTACTGAAAATCCGAATTTTGTCACATATAAGATAAATAATAACCTAATACATACTTTCCTACTGTTAATCTATGCATTATTTATACTGACATAGTTTTAACATACGAAATTTACAAAAAGGATTTGATAAGTTGGTAAATTATGCAATAATAATAATGATAATAATACCTTTGTGTGTACGTAAATGCAGTTTTTCATTGATACTCGTCAATACATCATTTTGATAGCACGATTCCAAAAGAGACTGAGATATTTTACACAGCATAGAAGACTCGGGAATAGGCTTCCTTAAGGAGTAAACGAAAATGGATGAGAAAGTAATTCATCACAAACACACACACAAACACGTACGCGGGGAAAAAAAGAAGTTGGAAGGTCTTAAAATCATTTTTATGTGATTTTTCTTTGAAAAAAAAATAAATAAAAGTTTCCAGTTCTCGATAAGAAGAATGATGCCGTCTAGAATTGTTCATAACTACACGCAATGGTGGCATATCATGGTAGGTTAAGTCCACTTGTTTAAACCTTTTAGATCTTTATTAATATTGCATTGAACTAAAAGTGACACATAAAAATGACATACTGTAACAATCAATAATTAATGTCTCGTAGGCTAGTCAAGGGTGAAAAAAAAAGTTCCTCAAAACTCGATCCGAACCGTTCACTGTCAGTTAAAAACCATTGGTTCCACAAAAAGTGCACAACTGAGAAGTTTATTAAAGGGTTAAACAAAAAACTGCTAAAGCCTATCAATGGAATGCTGGTTCTTTGTAGCTTGAAAGAGAATTTGTAGAATGCAGTAAAGATAAGAAAGTTTGAATATCGCTCGGAATTTCAGAAATTTTGCGTTAGGCGTTGTTCCTACTTGTAAATTTATCACAGAAAGAAGTCATAAATACTTTAGTAACTTAGGTTTTTTACATTCCTAATTGTACCACAACGTATTAAACAATCAGGAGGGTTGAACAACTATATGTAACTTACCGGATCCTGCCCTCGAAGTGACTTTTTTATGGGGAAACTACAACACACAGAACTAAGCAGTATAATTAACGAAACAGCTCTATATACGAAGTATATTGAGGCTAGTTCGTAAACAACAAACGATTTTGAACAATTTTCTCACTGAATTCTTGTAATAAAGCATGCACTAGCATAGTATTTGTAATGGAAAGTAAGATAACAATTACTATTTTCAAGATCTCGGTGAACAATGTGCCATTGAAAAAGACAAGATGAGTGGACTTTACTTAATGAGCTATAAAATATGTTCATTACAAAGCTGTTTCCCCCCCCCCCATCCTTATAAAAAATGGGAACACAAGAAACAAAACTAAAGAATTAACCATTGTCAAAAGACTCCTTTGAGACGAAAATGATGATCCTCCGCTGAAGTTCATCATTAACAATGAGACGAAAGGAACAAAATCAATAAAGTGGGATACAGTTGAGAAGGAACTACTTTTTCCTCATATTTTACCGTTAAAAGAGATAAGAATGTTAGCAGAATTGCCCACGAAACTAAGTGGTGACTGACTGGATGAAACATAGAACTTTGCAAAGATGTGCAGCAGTTCCAGTTGCCACTCTCCCTTCATGTAGCAAGAGAAGAGAGTAAAGACAGACTCAAAGGAGAGATAATAAACAGACATGTGAGGCAAAAAGAATAGTAATGCGGAAGAACAATAAAGTCTTATTGCATATGATAAATCACAAAGAGTGAATGCATCTGTACCAGACATTGAGAACGATTTTCAACCGTGTCATTACCAATTATCTCCAGCCGTCATTGGTTTTACCATCCCGACGACCCCAACCAGCCAAGAAGTCTACACTTCTCTAAGTGGTTGGCTGGCTAGCTTGAACTAATTGTTGTGGATTTCATTGACTGATGGAGCTATGTTTGGTTTGACCACTACTGCCTCTTCTCCAGCCTGATCCATCCTATGTCAGCTAACATTACCAGTCAGTCGAGGAAGGCGGTCGACGACTAGGTGTATTGCATGTGTAAAACATGTCCTAACCATCTCACTCACTCAATCAATGTAACTTCACAACCTCGTCGACTGATTTCCCCACCTTACCTAGAAGTGGTGAATTGTAATAAAACCTATCTAGATATTAAGATGTTCTGCATGTATTACACCAACTGTTCATGAAGACAGTCAAAAAGAACATCTTTCTTTCGCCTTCAACTGTATCTATCAATGCGCATATATGCGGCAAAGTAAATACAATGGAAAAAAAAAGTAGAAGGAAGGATACACATCTCAATTTTTGAACATATTTTAAAGTATCTGGGTGCTTGATACATTTCAGTTTATTGTTTTTATGTCTACACTTTTTCTAGTTCACACCAGTCACATGAGAATAGTAAATCACAACTTTCAATACTAAATGCTAACAACACAAGTTGACAACCTAAAACAAACAAATGAAATAAAAATTATTTGTTGTAGCTTAGCTATATCATCCCTGCTCACGTTGTTAAAAACATTTTTATAAGCATTTGTGTTGATCTATCCTTATGTCTTTACAAATGAAATGAATGCTTTAATATTCTACAGCTTACTACTCCATATTGTGTTAAGGTGTTTGTTGTTACTGGTTCTAACTTCTATCAAACTCAGTAAAAAAATAACAGTAGCGTAATACAACCACCTAGAATATTCCCATTACATTACATCCTTTCTTCTGTTTTGAGGTGTTTATTTGCAAAATATGACATTTTGGAACGCTTTCAGTTCATGTATAATCTCCATCCAGGCATTAATGAAAACAAAACACGTAGATCCTTATTATCAACTTTGTTCCTATGTGCATCCTGAGTAAAACTCACTCATCAAACTAGTCATATTATTACATAAGTTCTTTTAACAACTGTTTGTGAAAACTCATCACCTTTGTTACTACCTTAATTCCACTAACACCTAATTTTCTTGACTGATTTTGTATTACGTAACTTCAATCACCAATTCAAATGAACTGTCGTCAAGATTTGACCGAATAGTTCTAAAATATTTGGGCGCCGATTGAGTAGACATTTGTAAAAAATTTATATTTGTAAAGTCTCAGCGAGATTGAAATGAGTAATTCCAACGTTTCGTTCGGCAATCTGGTCCGAACTTCTTCAGGGAAATTAATCGAAATTAACATAACATAGGTTTATAAATAAAAAGGAACATCACTTGATTTGTAAAAATTTGTCTAACCATGAGTCATTCAAAAAAGTATCAACAAGTATAGTAAACAAAATTTTATGAGCTGTGATCAAAATTTGACCTCGGACTTACAAATATTGGTCTACCTTTGTTAAACACATTAAACAGAGTGTGTATGTGTGTGTGGGTAAACAGTTGTAAAACATTTCTTAACGTCTCCATAAGAAGATATGGACAGTCGAGAATTTTGACCAAGTATTAATAATTAGTGATATATATCCATTTTTTATTTATTAATAAGGATTTCCTATGCATCAGCTAACATATATATAAACCTCTGCTATGTTAATTTCGACTAATTTCCCTGAAGAAGTTCGGACCATATTGCCGGACGAAACGTTGGAATTACTCATTTCAATTTCGCTGAGATTTTACAAATATAATTTTTCACAAATGTCCGATTACTTATCTTCACCTGTTTAGTTAAAATAACTATAACCAATTGTATTTTTGTTTGACAAACTTAATGTACACATACATACAAAATAACACATATTTGCGATTGTACATCTAAGAAAATGAATTAGCCGGCGGAAAGAGACTTTTCGCTGATCTACGTGTTTTGTTTTCATTAGTTTTGGAAAGCGACAATTTTGTACAGATTTCTACGCTGCTAGGTCAGTGTAAGTTGTCTAGTTTTCCTTTTTTTTAGAATTTCCTTATAATGGCGCCTTTTTATGGAAAATTATGTCAGCAGCACTACATCCTCATAGAACACTACTGCATGATAAATCACAGTGTAAAAGCATATATACGTTTCGGGGGTGCTAATTAATATTCACCGCGTCAGTAGTTCAGAGGTGGAATGCTCGTTAACCACGCAAGTTGTCCAGGGCTCGATCCCAGACTGACGCATTCCCAAAACCTCTCTAAGCCGGTAAAGAGGAAAGCTTGGGCATGCGGCTAGCAACCCTACCCCGGAAAAATAAACACCACTGCTTTCGGAACTCCAAAGCTCTAGCATAAGGCCCTATATGTTCCACTGGGAGCGTAAAGGAATAAAAAAAAATTTAAAATAAATATTCAATGCTTGGCATGTGTAAACTTATGACTGTGAGCAACTCACCACTTATATCACCCACTACAAATAGTTGTATAATCCTATAGAGATCCTATATAGAGCTGCGTACAACCTGAATTCTTTAATAAAATAAAAATAAAAAGTGTACAATTTCAACAAACCTTTGTCCATTAGCAAGCATATCGTCAGAGCGTCATAGTAAAATAAGGCGTTGCGATTTACAAGGTGTCTAAAGTGTTACGACATATGTATATATATCTTGTTAGAGAAAAGTTTCTTGAGAAAAAAATTAATTAACAGTTGTGTTGTTGGGGTGGTAACAAAGGACAATTAGTAATAGTTACGTAATTAGATAAGAGATCAAAACTTTTAAAATTTCGGTGCACTTGAGGTCAGATGAGAAGTTGATGATGTAATACAGTGAGCAGAACTCAGAAGATCAAGAAAAATTATCTTTTAAGTGAGTCAAGCAAAAAATAAAGGGGGGGGGGGAGCGAAGACATAAGTTAATAAAATTAGAAAACAAAGAGTTACTAAGATGTGAGTCATCAGGGTAGTTGAAGTCCAACAACGGATTCTTTTTGGACACATGAGTCAGACTTTAATCGTTTCCACTCCCACCCCCTTTATTTTTCGCTTGACTCACTTAAAAGATAATTTTTCTTGATCTTATGAGTTCTGCTCACTGTATTACATCATCAACTTGTCATCTGACCTCAAGTGCACCGAAATTTTAAAAGTTTTGATCTCTTATCTAATTACGTAACTATAAATAATTTTATTTTGTCAACACCCCAACAACACAACAGTTGATCACTTTTTTTTGAAGGAAATTCTCTCTAACAAGATATATATATGTCGTAACACTTTAGACACCCTGTAAATCGCAACGCCTTATTTTACAATGACGGTCTGACGATATGCTTGCTAATGGACAAAGGTTTGTTAAAATTGTACACTTTATTTTATTAAAGAATTCAGGTTGTACGCAGCTGATGAGAACCAACGGAATAAAATGGAAGTAGATTATTCTGTGCCAATGTTTCTTGTTCAAATTTATAAAAGGGAATCATTGTATGAAATAATTATGTACACTTTAAACCTTGTTTACAAAATAATTTGTTTTAAATTAAAAAATTCTCTCTTTAATTCATTACACTTACTTTAACTCCATTTCCAAGTATTTATTCATATAGTGCATTTGAGTAGCAGCCATGAATGAATGCGATTTATTAGATGCATACAAGGATTCATCAATTGTAGCTTGTTGAGTAGTGTGAGAAGAATCACGTCTAAGCCTTTTCTGAACTGAAGCAAAACAAAAATGAAGAGAGTTAAGGCTTATCCAAATATACATCAAATCAAAAGTATGATGTGATGAGGATTTGTGTATCTCTCTTATTCATTTATTTTTTTATTCCTTCACATTCCCAGTGGAACATAGGGCTCCAAGCCAGAGGCTTGAAGTTTCTGTAGCAGTGTTTATCTTTACAGGATGGGGTTGCTAACCTCATGCCTAACCTTCCCATTTTGCCAGTTCTATTACTGACTTAGTGAGGTAAAGGAGTGCGTCTGTGGCAGGGGATCGAACCCTGGACCATGTGCATGGTCGGCGAACATCCTAACCGCTGTGCCACCGACGCTTTTATCTATTTAGTTATTTTTAATTGTAAATCAAGTGGATATTACAGATGTATTATGAAATAGTTATCATTTATAATTTCGAACGCTGTTTTCTTCCTATAGATACAGATTGTACTATTTCTACTTCAAATATGAATACATAAAATCTTATCTGTCAATCAATAATGTGAGAAATATATTGAATACAATAATCGTGTGTTTGCCTGTATACACGGAAAAAGGAACCACCTGACAGAAAACAGACATGATGTATTTTATCCAGTTGACGAGTAAAAACTAAAGAATGCCCATAGTGTAAACGGTATAAGACATAAGACTTGATAAAGGAATGTTTATTTGCTACTTGGTATATCTCTATGCAGCGAAATTACGTAAGCCTTATCTCTTCAATGCACCATTTCCACAGATCTTCTGGCCTTCATATTGTGTCTCTTTGTGCTCCTTTCACGTCCCCTAGGTTTCTCCTCAACGCTGAATAATTTGCTTTCTCTGACATCAAATCTGTCTCCGTGCTATTTGATGTTTAATGCCGATGAATATCTTTCTATTTATGCATATACTACTGATAAACCTTATCAGTAGCTCACGCCCTAGTAGTGGATAGCATACAAGTTTTAATGGAAAAACAAAAAGATATTTACAGTGAGGGAAAAAAGCAAATTATCTATTTGATGAAGTCATCAACTAGGCTGTATATTTGTGAACACTATAAAAAAAGGATGAGAAAGTTATAGAATTATATCCTCTTAGAAGTCAAAATATTATTATTATTGTTCCCTTGGGTTCCTAGTGGAACATAGGGCTTCAACTGCACGTCTCCACTTGCTTCTGTCTTCTGCTGTACTTTTAACCTGCATCCATGTTAGTCCATTCTGCTTCAGCTCCTCTTCACACGATCTCCTCCCTGTAACACTTGGACGTCCCAATCGCCGCTTCCCTTTCGGGTTCCACTCGAGCTATGGCCTGACGTGCGATGTCACCAAGCGGCCTCCTCAGCGAGTGTCCAATCCATCTCCACTTTCTCCTGCAAATTTGTTGAGCGATTGGCTGTTGTTTTGTTTGTTCCCATAGTTTCTTGTTGGTTCTTGTTCTTTCCGGCCATTTGATCTTCAGTATAGAGAGCCAAGACAGTTGTTGATAAAGGTGTGCAACAGGCTGTTGGAAATATTCTTTGTGACCCGCCGCCAAGTTTCTGATCCATCCGTATAGAAGAACTGACTGACTTGACGTTTGTATTGAAAATCCGGATTTTGTTGTTGATGCAGGCTGAGTGACGAAGATTTCCAGATTGGTTTCAGGTTCATGAATGTGTTTCTCGCCTTCCGGATTCTCGATTTGACATCCTCGTCCGTTCCTCCTGTAGTTGAGACAATGCCCCCTCCCGTTGATGGTGATTGGCGCTGGATGTTGCTGCTGTTATTGTTGTTGTTGGTTGGTTATTTTCATAACCTCCGTCTTGTCTATGTTCACCTGGAGTCCTGTCTTTGCTGTTTCTTTGAGCAGTTTGTCGGTTTTCGCTTGCAAGTCTTCGATTTTGTGTGACATCAAACATAAATCAAAATATAACGAATAACAAAACAAGATAAAGTTATTTAACTATATCAGAGAATTCTGGCTGAACTTGAAGTCACTGACATGTTTTAGATCAAAGGTGGATTTCCTTCTGAGTATTCTCTAAGAAAAAAATATACTTGGTCAACGTCCTCTCATGAACTTAGAGACTATAACCAAAACATCTATGTTTTACGGACAATCGATCTAAGCAGTTCTTCAAAACAAAAACAAAAAGTATTCATTCAGACGTCTATAAAACATGAAATAACTGAGCAAGGAATATCCTTTTCGATAATTTTCTCTTCTGGCTGTACAATTATGCATATGTTTATATACATAGAATATTCTAGAATGGTAGTCAGTAACAATATTAGTGTTTTTTAAAATAACATCGATTTGTTAAGTAAGATCAATGGAATTATAGTTCATTAAAAATGCATAAATTATTATAATAATAAAGATACAGTAGCGAATAGAATATCAACTAAAATTAGGGAAGTTTCTACAAAAATTGAAGGTCATTCGAACCTAGATGGGCAAGGTAAGGACAATGTCTGAACTAGCTTCTTCTGGATGCACAAATTAAGCTTCTTAATGTGGATCCCAATAGCCAGCCTCAGCAATATTTAGTAAACGAACTCTTAAGGCAAAGCTGCGATTTGTTAGTATGCAGTAAATGACTTTGAAAGCCGCCTCGTTGACATCAATCATGTGTTCTGTATCCCCAAGATGAGATAGAATAGCTCTACGAATAGATTTTGTTTGTCCTTCAATTTACCGACCACGCAGAGTGATGTTCGGAAATCCGACGAGAAACAAAAAATGTCAAAATATTAACACAAGCTTTCATATATGAATTATAGGGAAAAAAAATTGTTGGGAGTGAAAGCCTTTAATGAGTGTATTATTGACATACAAAAAAAAATTATAGTAGTCACTAACCTGGTGCTTCAATAGCTTCCTGTTTACACCCCTCAGTTTGTTTAAGCGTAGGTAGATGAAAATAAATTGATTCTAATTGCTGATATGATCGAATAAGGCCTTCCAAGTAACTGACATTTGCTTCTGTTATCTCAGCACAGTAAGGTTCCATAAGCTCCCAAAACTTGTTCGGAATAACATAACTATATAGGAATGATAAAAGAAGATTTAAATGAACTAAAATGCTAATATGATTTTTAAAGTGATGTAAAGTGTAAAAGAAGCGTTACATTTCTGTTTGTAAACGGTCAGCACGATAGCCTGATTAGATCACTGGGGGTGGGTTGGGGTGGGGGGCTTGCTACCAGAATTTTCACATCCATCAAAATACTTTAACTCTTTCGCATTTCTCAGTGTTTTAATTGTGCAGTTATTATATCAAATGACCACTACATGAACTCACACGCTTATTCAACTAGCTTTCAACTTAAACGTTGTGCAGTTTTCTTTAGTGACATGGAGAGAAAAAACCCAGCAGAATTGGTTGAAATATGAAGAAAAGTGAGTTCCAGCATAATGTTAATCTGGATAGAAAAAAATGTTGGGTTTATTTATTTATTTTTTATTTTGGTTACAGCTTGATGTCACACCGTATTTTCAGTACGAGTATGGAATTTTCAGCATGGATATCGGTAGCCCAAATTTTGCAGGCCGACCATAGATATCGGGTGTGCGTCGGTAGGGGATCGAACCCCGGACCATGTGCATGGTCGGCGAGAGTCCTAACCACTGTGCCACCGACACACCGACGCAATTGTGTTCTGCATCGTTGCAAACCTGACTGATAGAATTCAGTCTGCACCAAAGAAAGGACTAGACACGTCACACTAGTTACTAGTGTCCAATCAAAATACCCACTACAGTCCTACAGGAAGTCAATCGCGAGCCCGAATAGCTCAGTGGTAACGTCTCTGACTGCAGCACTGGGTGACGCGGGTTCGAATTTCAGAAAGGATATGAGTCCCTTCAAGGTTGCAGATACGCCTTGCTGATGAGTGCTAACTAACACGAAACCTAGGTCCAAGGCTTCCTGCCGATTGCCTCCAAGTATCTAACATCCTCAAGAGACTAAGTTTATTACGTTTCTTTCGAACAGTTTTGTCTGCACAACTTATATCACCGACTACACTTTAATTTCGGTTGTAGTTGCCTTATATTTCAGCCTTTAGTAGCACCTTGGACTACTTACTTTAACTATCAGTGAAGTTACAAACAACACTGAAAATATTTTCATTGAATTTCAATCCATTCATTCTTGGCGTGGTACATATGTCTTACATTTGTTGTGTTTTTTGTTTACTCAGATTATTAAAAATCTGTCTATCAGGTCAGTAATTATATATATATATATACATATATATTCAAGTATTGGTTTGTAGGGATTTGATTGATTGGCTACAGGACTTCATCATGAACTGACATTAGTTGGAGAACTCGCCGAAGACATTGGCTAGTGGTCGCGCTATGTTGTGAATTGGCAGAAGTTGGAATTCATGGGTTGGCCATTGGGTCGGGTCCCGGTAGCTTAATTGTGTACTAGCTCTCTTTGTAACCAGAGGGTCCTGGGTTCGAACCCCGGTGGATACGTACTGATGAAGAGTCCCAAACCAGGACGAAACACATGTCCAGTACTCCCAATTGGTTTTCCAATGGTTCACTAACCAACGTCAGCTCATGATGAAATCCTGTAACCAATCATATATATATATATATATATATATATATATGCAGATTGAGTACCAAAATAAGCGGAAACAGAAATTTCTGTATATTGAGAAATGTTGTACGTATTTTATTATGAATTGTTGGGTAATTTTATCACAAATACGATACTTTCAACAAATCACATCTGAGATTTGCAATTTACACAGTTCATGGAGGTGAAATATCATTACAATAGGTGATCTGCTTGGTAGCATGAATAGCAGTCAAAGAGAGCAAGCATATATGCATGAAGCTATATACTACTGACCGATTGATATAAGTAGTTAGATTCTACTAGAATCAATTTGTAATTGGTGGTAGGCCGGTCGAAGTGATCTACACACACTGGATGGCCGTTTCGACCGTCTGGTGCCGAGATCATCAGTAGTGTACTAGGTTTATACATTGAAATGTGTGTAAATTTGAAGGCAACTAACGGCACTTTTGTTGCCTCGGCACTTATACGCAACACCGCAGATCATTAGATATCTAGAAATACAATTGTGAATTAATTGGGAGTAGAAGAGAATTCAATCGGGGGATGTCCTCCATAAAAGTGAAAAGGGTGAATACAGATGTCTGATGATTACAACCGGACTGGTCTACCTTAAGGAGTGAGAAAATCATGACTCCAAACCTGTGTGGTGTACATGGGCTCCAGAATCAGAATGAGTCGAATGGCGTATGTGAACCTATTTTGGTCACCAGTGACCATGGGAACGGAGCTATTGACGCTGCTCAACTACCCTGTCGATCAAACTTCAAGTCTAAGGCTACGGGTGTGACCCCGAAGAAAACCACATGCATCGATTTAGGGGTCCGGGCAGTATCCCAGTCCTCGCGTCCAATAAAATTTTATGTAGCACACCTCTTGCTATACCCACAATGCATCAACTTTGTGCTTTAATAAGTATAACATAATAAATAAGCAATCTCACCACAGGAATGCACTTAAATGTCTTCATAAAATAGCATGATAGTTGACGGGATGTTACTTGAGTACGATTAATTGAAAAGAAACACAAGGAAACACAATTGTAAAATAACAATTGCTATGTGTTAATCAACTATTTAGAGAATATATATATATATATATGCATAATTAATCACAAACTCTATTAAAATTACCTTGAAGTCAACAGATTTTTGTCAGGGGATGTCGGTGAACAGAGTTCCGATACTTCTTCAACTGAAGACTACAAAAGTCAGTAGAAAATAACAACAACAAAATGTCACAGGAGGTCAGATTGGTCATTTAGCAACTCGAATCAAAAATGCGTTGGCAAAACACTGATTGGTGGAAGAAGAAGAGAACATCTTCTTTCTGATAACCTCTTCAGAAATAATTATTGTTGTCAATTAACTGATATGCAGATACAACTAACTATACAACCAGAAAATAAGCTACTGGGGCGAATAACGGCGATGGAAATCTTCACACAGTTTTGTTATTATTATTATTGTTCCCTTGGGTCCCTAGTGAAACACAGAGAGCTTCAACTACACGTCTCCACTTGCTTCTGTCTTCTGCTGTACTTTTCACCTGCAGCCATGTTAATCCATACTGTTTCCACTCCTCTTCACACGATCTCCTCCATGTCACCCTTGCACCGACGAACCACTCACCGCTTCCCTTTCGGGTTCCACTCGAGCAATGGCCTGACGCGCGATGTCACCCAGCGGTCTCCTCAGCGAGTGTCCAATCCATCTCCACTCTCTCCTGCATATTTGTTGGGTGATTGGTTCTTGTTTTGTTTACTCCCATAGTTTCTTGTTGGTGATTCTTTCCGGCCATCTAATCTTCAGTATCGAAAGAAGACAGCTGTTGATAAAGGTCTGCAACAGGCTGTTGGAAATATTCTTTGTGACCCGCCAACTTTCTGATCCATACGTTTAGAAGAACTGACTGACTTGACGTTTGTATTGGAAATCCGAATTTTGTTGCTGATGCTGAGTTGAGTGACGAAGATTTCTAGATTGGTTTCAGGTTGATGAATGTGTTTCTCGCCTTTCCGATTCTCGATTTGACATCCTCGTCCATTCCTCCTGTGGTTGAGACAATGTTCCCTAGATAAGTGAAGTGAATGAAGTAACCTCTTTCAATTCCCTCCCATTGATGATGATTGGCGGTAGATGTTGCTGCTGCTGTTGTTGTTGTTGGTTGGTTATTTTCATAACCTCTGTCTTGTCTATGTTCACCTGGAGTCCTGTCTTTGCTACTTCTTCGACCAGTTTGTCGGTTTTCGCTTGTAAGTTTTGGTAAAATGAAAATTTTATCGAGTCAATAGGTAAGTGTGTCACACACGCACAGTAGTGATCGAATAAGAAGATTGAACATAAAAGTTTAACATTCATCCTAATAAAGGAGGAGTGAAATGGTTTTCACAACAACTATTGCTTATGAATTGTGGGAGCAATTAGAAACTGCATGCACATAAAAACAAGTAAGTGTCACCTTCACACTTCTAATAACCATTCGGACAGAAAAACCTCATCACAGATATCATAACTAGAAGATTCAAATTTCCATGAAAGCCAACTGGTTCTATACACACCATTAGCTTAGGAACAATCAGTTATAAGGCATGGGAAATAATTTTCAACGCAAAAGTGGATGAATCTTAGCGTCAAAAGTATTTGAGAAACTAAACTGTCGGGAAACAATATTTCATGTATTCTAGAAATTCAACTTCTGAAAATGCTTTGAACTAAAATACACTGAATAATTATCTAGACTTTGTTTGATTACTGCCTGAATCTATTGCCACTAAATTTTCAAAAACACTTTATACAGAGAGATGAACTGGTGTGAACCATGGAATGGTGAAAGCATATCATACGAATATAGAGGGCTAGTTTCGCATATGCCAGTTTACGACGTCTCTGGCTTAGCAGACGTGATATCCGGCTATCGACCAAAGGACGGGTGTACTGCTCAGCAGTCCGCTCCGTCCTCCTTTATGGCTGTGAGATCTGGCCATTGAGAGCGGAGGACATGAAAAGCCTGGCTAACTCTCTTTGATCATAGGTGTCTGCGTTCTATCTCCCGCGTTAAGTGGTATAATAAGGTGAGCAATATTGACGTTAGGCGTCGAGTGCTAGGTAAGGAGGGGAAGTCAGTCGACGAGACAGTGAAGTTACATCGACTGAGATGGTTAGGACATGTGTTACGTATGCCTAGTCATCGCCTTCCTCGACTAACGGGCAATGTTAGCTGATATAGGGTCAGGCTGGAAAAGAGCTAGCGGCGGTCAAACCAAAACATGTCACCAGTCAATGAAATCTACAACAGTTAGTCTAAGCCACGTAGGAAGGTGTAGACTTCGTGGTTGGGGTCCTCGGGACGGTAAAAATCAATGGTTGGAAGCAATTGGTGACATGACTCAAAATCGTTCTCAGTGGCGCAGATGCATCCACTCCTTGTGACTTATGATTTCCAATGAAACTGTTTCGTTCTTCGTTATTACTATACCTTTGTTTCACACCCCTTTTTTCTGTCTCTAATATGCATTTCTCCTACTCTCTTCTTTCTCTTTGTGTGCTACATGGAGTGTGGCGACTTGAACTGCTGCACATCTGTGCAAAGTTTTATGTCGAAAACCGACCGACCGGTATCATACAAACCAGGTGAGCAATCTGACCAGCTACATTGGAAAATCATCCGGGAAAGAAACGATCAAATTAGGAGATAAGTGAATAAGGTTAGAAATGATTTCAAATAATAAAGAAATATGATATTGCCTTAAACAAAAAATCCGAAATCTGGTGATCTCTGCAGATAACTGATGACTAGTTTCCAAATAAGTTACCAAATAGGTTTCACTTCATAAGATATGAAGTGTAGTAAATTAATAGTTAGTTTTACTCTATGTGATGGACAATTGCACAGTTGTCACTGTCATAGCAACACGATCAGTCTGTTGTTCACAATGACCACATATTTACTTAACGACCCCTCAGAAGTGTTGAGTATAATATTTCTCCAAAAATAACCCGTCCCCACTGAGACAATTATTTAGATGAAAGTCAGCAAGGAGATTGTTCATATAACTACTGCTTTATAAAAGATATATTCTTGACTTTTCACATGACTCAGATGTTAATTTTGAAAAAGTACTAATTTATGATATTTCAGGATTGTAATTTATACCATTATTGATCGCGCCTGTAAAAATGGCATGCATTTCTTGTAAACTTACCCGTTTATACGATATATAAATTAAAATTATTATTAATAATAAAAAGTGAAGTGGTAGGGCAGCATAAGGATTAGCTTAGAAACTATTTCGCAAAACTCGAATTCGAGGATTGATAGAGCTGATAAAATATCTACAAACTCAATTAAACATTTTTACTAGAACGAAAACATCAACGTATGATGAAGGGTTATGAATGCTATGCTAAAAGATACTCCGGGAAATGAATGCAAATTAATAATTGAAATAATTCAAACTAGCCTTACCCTGCTAGATCGTCTCAAGCCGAATGCAGGTTTTACTGCAGTTGAGACACTTGGTAGCGTTGTCTGGGGATTAGGACAAGGACCAGAACGTTGGGATATAATCAAAGTGAGAGGTTTATCAGGATTAGCCTTCACAACTAACGACGGTTTTGAGAGACACTTTTGATTAGATTCAGCTTCTCTGTTTCCGTGATGACGTTTGAGTGCAGAAATGACGCTGGCAGGTAAATCTTTTCCTTTCGACTCGGATTTTAAGCAAATCATACGCTCCACAACGCTGGCGAGAATTTGTTCTAATTCCATTTGAATAGAAGACAAATCCAGCAGCGGCAGCTCACAGGATCCGGCAACTACAAAATTAGACTATGTTAAGAGAACTACCTTTCAGAAGTGTAGGGTAGGAGGACTCCAGGTCCTCCAAACCATGTGTGCCGAAGGTAAATTCACATGAGGCCTGTGAACTGTCGATCTTTTTTCTCCCCATCGGTCAGACTGACTAAATCCTGCGAAAAGTATTTGTAAATATCAAAGTGAAACGGATGATGTTGCCAGATGGAAATTCAATAATCATGCATGTATTAGCAAACGAAACAAAAGCATGATGCAAACACTGCAGGATGGTGTTTAGAAGTGGCTCAGTGACTTAAGGACTTGTCATCTAACTAACATATTCAGATTGAAAGTTGTCAGACCGAAGTTGTCGCGACTTTCTTAGAATAATTTGGGCGGTGAGTCAGATTGAACCATTGTAAACTATTTGAAAATAATCACAGCATCCTTACGAAAACATCGAAACAAGGTTTTTCTGAACGTTTCACTGTGTAAGCCACAGCTTCTACAGCAGAATTATTCGGGTTTTATTAACCATCAAAATATATAGTCAAAAACCACATAAATTGAAGCCAGTTCCCCCTGAAAGTCAGTTGTCGGCAGACATTTGTACCAACACAAAAATGCAAACAGTCATCACATATTTGTAATGTCGTGTCAAATTGTCATATTTGCGTATTTCGAAAACGAAAGATTTCTAACACAATAACTTAATCTCAAAATATATAATCCCGCGTTGTCTAGTGGTTAGGATTCCTGGCTTTCACTCAGGCGGCCCGGGTTCGATTCCCGGCGCGGGAACACTTTTGAGCGTCGGTGGCACAGCGGTTAGGACGTTCGCCAACCCTGCACATGGCCAAGGGTACGATCCCCGGCCGACGCACTCTTTTATCTCGGTAGGGCAGTAAAAAGCGAAGCTGGCAACGACCAAAGGTTGGGCGTGAGGCTAGCAACCACACCCCGTAAAAGAACACTGCTACAGAAACTTCAAGACACAAGCTTACTTCTGGAAAAAACTATGAGAGAATCGAACGAGGGGACTCTAGACTTCCAGGATTGTCTTGTAAAGGGACAAACTGACGAGAAACTAAAGTCCACGATACACAGGAAACCCACACATTCAAACAAATATTTGAATTTCCAATCACATCATCCAATAAGAATGAAGGTTTCAGTAGCTTTAAATCTCGTCAACAGAGCTAGAAACATTATAACAGATAATGATGACATGGAGAAAGAGATATCCAATATAAAACAGATTTTGATTGGAAATGGTTATCCGGAAAAGCTGCTAAATAATATTATCAATAAAAAGGACCAGAAGTGAGAACAGAAAATTGAAAAATCTTGGCTACCGGCGGTGGACATTCCATAACGAAAGGAGACAGCTGAATAACTTCAAAGAGTACTCGCTTCATATAATATTAAAGCCTATTTCAAGTCTATTCTCTAGAGAAAGCTTTGGTGAATGTCAAAGATGTGATTCAGTGACACAAAACAACTGTGTCTATTAGATAGTGTTCAGAATGTGAAGCTTGCTATATAGGGGAGAGCAGTAGACAGATGAAGGTCAGAGTGAATGAACATAGACTGTGCACGAAACGTCCGCCTAGAAATGAAATAGGATTAAAAGGTCTAGAAAAAATATCAGCTGTAGCAATGCATGCTATAGACAGCGGACATAAGATTGACTTCAACAATGTCGAAATTCTTGGAAGAGGCTTTCATTCACATAAAGAAAGACTGACCTCTGAAACCTTGCATATTTTAACCACATCAAATGCAGTAAATAGGAGAGAAGGGATAGACTTATCACCAATATGGCAGACCCTAATGAAGCAAAACAGATGAGCGAAAGAAAAAATTCAATCCTATAATGTGACTACTGTGAAATATTATCATGTCTTGACGTGTTTTCCACATAACAAACAACATACACTCATACAGACAAATACGCATATATGACAATTTTGACACGACATTACAAATATGTGATGACTGTTTGCATTTTTTTGTTGGTACAAATGTCCACCGACAACTGACCTTCAGGGGAACTGACTTCAATTTATGTGATTTTTGACTATATATTTTGATGGTTAATAAAACCCGAATAATTCTGCTGTAGAAGCTGTGGCTTACACAGTGAAACGTTCAGAAAAATCTTGTTTCGATTTTTTTCTTAAGCACGCTGGGATTATTTTAAATAATTTATAATAACATATTCAGGTTTCAAACGCTGCTGAAACTCCTTCGACCTGAACGATCGAGTAGTGTCATTAGCCTCCGGATGATAAATGCAGCACATGATGTAGTTCGCTTAAAGTTGGTTTCAGGTAGCTGAACTATGTTTCTGAATATCATTCATGAACACATCAAGGCAGCTTCCAGTTACACAGAACCGCTCACCTTTGCATGATAAGCCTCTCCAGCAAAACCAACTAACTATTTTTCGATCAACTTCAATACAACCTGAGATATATAAGACAATTCGAAATAATATAGCACTTCCATATCATTTACACAGTCCGTTTTCGAATCAAATTCATATGAAATAAAGAATGCGTTGTTCCTACAGAAATTAAGTTATATAAAGAAATAAAATATGACTGCATTTAGGGTTAAGGAATTACAGACAATTCATTTTTAAACCTTCAAGTTTCTGACTCTTTAAACGTAGGATAAACGTCCAGTGCAATCAATGCTAAAGTCGAAGTATATTACTGTATCATAAAAACAGTTCCTCTTGAATATATTGCTTTAATCAACTTCAGGTTTATTGCTGAAGAGTGATCAACATAATCACGTCACGGAACTTATACAGCAGCATACAGGTTCGTGTTAAAATAATCCGAGTCAATTTTACTACACCTAGTTTAAATAGTTGGATACACACTTCTCGATAGCATGAAAGAAAGTGTTATAGGTATAAGACACTATCTGCAGTTCATGTTCTCTGCCGGTGAGCGTCCCTTTTACTAGCTATGCGCGACTGAGGATATTCACGGCAAAAGTGAATGGCTGGATGCCAGTATCCAACAGTTAGCAGATAATTAGTAGATTTATAAGAGCCCACGAAGTATAATGAACTAACGTGGTGTGGAACAATTTTCAGTTACAGGAAACCAAAGAAAGGAACTACCCAATGTTTCTGTACCATCTCGTACACTAGACTGTAGGTTAAAGGTCCTGGTATACAGAGATACAACTCGCACATAAATGAATGCAATATATGAGAAAACAAGTAATATTAATATTACCGGAAGTGACTAAATGCCATAGTACCACTAACTGCATAATACAACGACACAACGGGCTGCAGTGGCTAGAATCTAGGTTTTTGTGGGTCATGTCATACCGGAAGTTTGGTTGGATGGCGGTTAGGTTAAAAGCAGTTAGTAGTGTGGGGTAAAATGTTTACTCGATCGTGAGCATGTGGGTGGCGAAGTCGTACTACTGGTGGATAGGAATGCGTCAGAAATAGGTTACTTCCATCGGAAAATCACCCAGTTAGCTGTGTTGCTTTTCTGCTCTGGAAGTGTACCGTTATAAAAAGTCAGTTCCAGTGTACAGTGTACATCGACACTTTATGGCAGTTTGCAGCCGGTTGTAAGGCCTTCTGTACAGAGAGCTTCTTATTCACCTCTGAGCAGACCGTGTATGGTCGACCTCAAGCATTTGTCTCATGCATTATATGATCACACAACTTTACTGTCTTTCTTGAGATACTTCAAGAAGAAACCAACTTTCACGTTGTGGACAACCCTGAGAGAGTAAGTACCTACACACCTGTGAACACATAAAAATCCACTGTTTGTCACCTGTCTCCATTGTGCCTTCATTACACTGCTTCTTTTCTAGTTTTTCCATCTTTTAACTGTGGCTAAAGGGTTGAGACAAAGAAACATGATTATCGGTCTCTTGAAACCACAGTATTAGTTTTCAAATCGGATGACAGGTATCACTAGTTACAAGTTTGACATCATGGGCTGTCTTTTTCCCTGGAACATGAAAACGTAGTCCGTGTAGTTGTTCACATAATCCTACATGGTTAGCTTGGTGAATCTACGAAATTCACACCGAGTGCCAGGAGATTATTTGGCTAATTCTTGTGAGCCTGTTGATGTAGGGATACTAATGAGCTTAAGAGCGGTGAACTCATTAATTGATTGAGTGCTAGAGACAGACATTTATGTCCTGCTTGACTGAGTGAATTCTTAAGAATAAAGATCGTGATATTCGAAGGCGGCTTGTGCAGAAATCTAAGTACGACTGATATGGGATTTGCCCCTGCCAAGCTGTAGATAGTTAAACTGTAATCATATAAATTTCAATGTGGCATATTTTAGAATTCAGAATTGTTAGAAATATTACAACAACATCTAAACAGTAAGTTGTCTTTACTTGTTCTTAAGAAGTCCATTACTATTTCGTTTTCCATGCTTTATTCCAGTGTGTAAGTTTGGAATACATCAAAATTATCCCTACTAGTCCCATCAGAATCTTTTAAATAAGAGATTTGCATCTTCTGTTCAGGTTGGTCTTTTTGGGCTATATAGTTAAGATGTGAATCCTATAACGCCATTTACGATACAAATGCATACAATAATTATAAGTAGTCTAACGTTCACCTGGTGTTACACCGTGACTGAATGTCTAGAAGTAAGGACCTATTGTGCAAGATCCAGATCTGTTTTAATGAATACAATAAGTCAGTGACTCAATCAGAAACTGAATTCACTTAGTGACAAGCCGTAATAGAACTTTGCACCAAGGTCCGGCAGCTCAACTTGACGTGTTTTTGATTAGAAAAGATTTTCGCAAACTAGATTAGAGTTAGAAGGCCGAACTGCAACCGTGGCAACTTGAACTGCTGCACTTCCGCGCTAAGTTCTACGTTGAAACCAGTCAGTCACAGAGCCGATCAAAACACTGAATTAACGCTAGAGTAGAACAGTGCACATGTATGATGTGGCTGTGATTTGGCCGAAACTTTATATGTGGTTAAAAATCATAAAACGTTCCTGTTCAGTCGAAAATTATGACGCTTTCACTGTGATGCGATAAAAGTTACGGGATCTCCCAAAGTAGGCATTTTAACACAAAGTGCTAAAACTTAAATACCGTATGCCTATGGGATAGGATATAGAAGAATTCAAATAATATACACGTAATCGTTTTTCATTTAAAAGGACACACGGAAATATTTCAATCTCTGCTTCTTCATTTAGCAACGTTAGTTCGCAATGAAATTTTTTATTCTAATGTCAGCATAGTTTTAAGCTGAAAACATCCAATAAGACACCTAAGGGGTTAGATGTGCTAAACTAACATGGCATTAATGTGTGTTCACACATAGACATTACATTTATTTTCAAAAATCAACAATAACTACATATTCATTTCCCATAATGCACCACTGGTAAACATTATATCATTAAAAATGGTTTTGAAATTGACAGATAATACATACGCTATAGAATGACCCTGTCAAAATCAATGGAACCTACGAAAAACCGAACATGAGTTTTATTGTCAAAATTGCAAATTAGGCGGTCGATGAAGGTGACCCTTGATCCACTTAAACGAATATCAGTTTTAACTTGAGAATTTCGCAGTCAGATATTCCTCAGTTTCCAGGAATAAAACTTATACTAAAGTGAGATAAGTGTAGCGAATCAGGCGAACAACCAAAAAGATGGGCACATACTGAAAACGGGCAGATTTGAATGAAGTGCACGAATGAGGAAGTAGAATTCATCCACATCTAGCCTTTCAGCTCCATCTGGATAATACACCAATTGGAGTGGGCAAAATCTATATATATGTGTATTTTACTGACATCAAATTGGTTTGCATCACCTACTAATGAATGTGAAGTGGGTGCACTTATTCGCCCCAAAAACAATTATCTTTTAGAGGCTGACGGTGTTGACGTTCACCGATAGTTCGAAGTATACCAAGGCAAAGTCTAATACCCATAAATTCTGTAGTATTCGTCCCGCGTAGACCAAAGGCAAAGCAAAACAACAGGACTGATTGGCCAAATTATGAATTATAATTCGGGACCAAATAGGAGTGTGACGATGATTGCTTAACTAGCTAGGGACCGTGCACGAACGAACGAACGTAACAAGACGGAGTGCCGAATGGCGTGGGTACTTGACCGTAACGGTCAAGCCTTCAGCTACACAAATTGACTCAAACAGTGAGGGTCGGGATCCAATATTTAGTGATGAGTGCTGTGGATAGTAGTTCTGGGGAATTCTACACTGCTAAAAACAACTAACTCCCAGATGCTGGCTTCCAGCCATTCACTTTTGCCGTGAATATCCTCAGTCGCGCATAGCTAGTAAAAGGGACGCTCACCGGCAGAGAACATGAACTGCAGATAGTGTCTTATACCTATAACACTTTCTTTCATGCTATCGAGTAGTGTGTATCCAACTATTTAAACTAGATGTAGTAAAATTGACTCGGATTATTTTAACACGAACCTGTATGCTGCTGTATAAGTTCCGTGACGTGATTATGTTGATCACTCTTCAGCAATAAACCTGAAGTTGATTAAAGCAATATATTCAAGAGGAACTGTTTTTATGATACAGTAATATACTTCGACTTTAGCATTGATTGCACTGGACGTTTATCCTACGTTTAAAGAGTCAGAAACTTGAAGGTTTAAAAATGAATTGTCTGTAATTCCTTAACCCTAAATGCAGTCATGTTTTATTTCTTTATATAACTTAATTTCTGTACGAACAACGCATTCTTTATGTCATATGAATTTGATTCGAAAACAGACTGTGTAAATGATATGGAAGTGCTATATTATTTTGAATTGTCTTATATATCTCAGGTTGTATTGAAGTTGATCGAAAAATAGTTAGTTGGTTTTGCTGGAGAGGCTTATCATGCAAAGGTGAGCGGTTCTGTGTAACTGGAAGCTGCCTTGATGTGTTCATGAATGATATTCAGAAACATAGTTCAGCTACCTGAAACCAACTTTAAGCGAACTACATCATGTGCTGCATTTATCATCCGGAGGCTAATGACACTACTCGATCGTTCAGGTCGAAGGAGTTTCAGCAGCGTTTGAAACCTGAATATGTTATTATAAATTATTTAAAATAATCCCAGCGTGCTTAAGAAAAAATCGAAACAAGATTTTTCTGAACGTTTCACTGTGTAAGCCACAGCTTCTACAGCAGAATTATTCGGGTTTTATTAACCATCAAAATATATAGTCAAAAATTACATAAATTGAAGTCAGTTCCCCTGAAGGTCAGTTGTCGGTGGACATTTGTACCAACACAAAAATGCAAACAGTCATCACATATTTGTAATGTCGTGTCAAATTGTCATATATGCGTATTTGTCTGTATGAGTGTATGTTGTTTGTTATGTGGAAAACACGTCAAGACATGATAATATTTCACAGTAGTCACATTATAGGATTGAATTTTTTCTTTCGCTCATCTGTTTTGCTTCATTAGGGTCTGCCATATTGGTGATAAGTCTATCCCTTCTCTCCTATTTACTGCATTCGATGTGGTTAAAATATGCAAGGTTTCAGAGGTCAGTCTTTCTTTATGTGAATGAAAGCCTCTTCCAAGAATTTCGACATTGTTGAAGTCAATCTTATGTCCGCTGTCTATAGCATGCATTGCTACAGCTGATATTTTTTCTAGACCTTTTAATCCTATTTCATTTCTAGGCGGACGTTTCGTGCACAGTCTATGTTCATTCACTCTGACCTTCATCTGTCTACTGCTCTCCCCTATATAGCAAGCTTCACATTCTGAACACTATCTAATAGACACAGTTGTTTTGTGTCACTGAATCACATCTTTGACATTCACGAAAGCTTTCTCTAGAGAATTAGAGGCTTGAAATAGGCTTTAATATTATATGAAGCGAGTACTCTTTGAAGTTATTCAGCTGTCTCCTTTCGATATGGAATGTCCACCGCCGGTAGCCAAGATTTTTCAATTTTCTGTTCTCACTTCTGGTCCTTTTTATTGATAATATTATTTAGCAGCTTTTCCGGATAACCATTTCCAATCAAAATCTGTTTTATATTGGATATCTCTTTCTCCATATCATCATTATCTGTTATAATGTTTCTAGCTCTGTTGACGAGATTTAAAGCTACTGAAACCTTCATTCTTATTGGATGATGTGATTGGAAATTCAAATATTTGTTTGAATGTGTGGGTTTCCTGTGTATCGTGGACTTTAGTTTCTCGTCAGTTTGTCCCTTTACAAGACAATCCTGGAGGTCTGGAGTCCCCTCGTTCGATTCTCTCATAGTTTTTTTTTTATTTCGTTCACGTTCCCAGTGGAACAATGGGCTTCAAGCTTGTGTCTTGAAGTTTCTGTAGCAGTGTTTCTTTTTACGGGGTGTGGTTGCTAGCCTCACGCCCAACCTTTGGTCGTTGCCAGCTTCGCTTTTTACTGCCCTACCGAGATAAAAGAGTGCGTCGGCCGGGGATCGTACCCTTGGCCATGTGCAGGGTTGGCGAACGTCCTAACCGCTGTGCCACCGACGCTCAAAAGTGTTCCCGCGCCGGGAATCGAACCCGGGCCGCCTGAGTGAAAGCCAGGAATCCTAACCACTAGACAACGCGGGATTATATATTTTGAGATTAAGTTATTGTGTTAGAAATTTTTCGTTTTCGAAATACGCAAATATGACAATTTGACACGACATTACAAATATGTGATGACTGTTTGCATTTTTGTGTTGGTACAAATGTCTACCGACAACTGACCTTCAGGGGAACTGGCTTCAATTTATGTGATTTTTGACTATGTATTTTGATGGTTAATAAAACCCGAATAATTCTGCTGTAGAAGCTGTGGCTTACACAGTGAAACGTTCAGAAAAACCTTGTTTCGATTTTTTTTTAAGCATGCTGGGATTATTTTCAAATAATTTACAATGGTTCAATCTGACTCACCGCCCAAATTATTCTAAGAAAGTCGCGACAACTTCGGTCTGGCAACTTTCAATCTGAATATGTTAGTTAGATGACAAGTCCTTAAGTCACTGAGCCACTTCTAAACACCATCCTGCAGTGTTTGCATCATGCTTTTGTTTCGTTTGCTAATACATGCATGATTATTGAATTTCCATCTGGCAACATCATCCGTTTCACTTTGATATTTACAAATACTTTTCGCAGGATTTAGTCAGTCTGACCGATGGGGAGAAAAAAGATCGACAGTTCACAGGCCTCATGTGAATTTACCTTCGGCACACATGGTTTGGAGGACCTGGAGTCCTCCTACCCTACACTTCTGAAAGGTAGTTCTCTTAACATAGTCTAATTTTGTAGTTGCCGGATCCTGTGAGCTGCCGCTGCTGGATTTGTCTTCTATTCAAATGGAATTAGAACAAATTCTCGCCAGCGTTGTGGAGCGTATGATTTGCTTGAAATCCGAGTCGAAAGGAAAAGATTTACCTGCCAGCGTCATTTCTGCACTCAAACGTCATCACGGAAACAGAGAAGCTGAATCTAATCAAAAGTGTCTCTCAAAACCGTCGTTAGTTGTGAAGGCTAATCCTGATAAACCTCTCACTTTGATTATATCCCAACGTTCTGGTCCTTGTCCTAATCCCCAGACAACGCTACCAAGTGTCTCAACTGCAGTAAAACCTGCATTCGGCTTGAGACGATCTAGCAGGGTAAGGCTAGTTTGAATTATTTCAATTATTAATTTGCATTCATTTCCCGGAGTATCTTTTAGCATAGCATTCATAACCCTTCATCATATAAGTATAAAAGCTGGGCCCTGTGGTATAGTATAATTCCATAATGGATAAGATTTTTTTTGATAAATCACGCAGTGTAGTACAGTTATATTAACTGATGACGTTTCGAGCACAAACTATTGCTCATAATCATATCAAGTTACTCACACAACTTCTTTCCTTCATTTATATACATGTGTGGAATCGACTAGATATTGGAATAAAATTCAATATGAGATAATGTACATTCAGAAATAATAGTACGAGTGTTGTTAATCCATTGCAATTAGATGGGAAATACGACGAGTGTTCTTTATAGCCATAATAAGTTGATTGTTAGAATTTGTTGATGTGTTAGAATGGAAATAGAATTTTAAGACTATTTATCATCCTCTTCTGATTTGACTGGCGGTAATAATATCTTCCATATTTCTGGTATTTGCATTGAGTCACTTCTTTTGCATGTGTTGGGTGTAGACTCAATGAATCAGGATTCCGTAATCAACCTCTGTCTCCACCTACCTATATTACTTTTTAGAATTTTGACTGTGTCCCACCCTATTGTGTAGTTGTGTGTTAATGCATGCAGTGCAATTGCTGAGTTATCTTCTCGGGGTCAACATTTTTACTTTAGCTAAATTCTTATGTTCTGATAATCTGACTATCCCTGACCTACTGGTTTGACCTATGTAGTTGACTTCACAGTCATTGCAAGGCATTTTGTAAATTATATTATTTTGTTTAATTGGGTCCAACGGGTCCTTTAACCTACAAAGTTTGTCTCTGAGTGAGTTTGTTGGTTTGAATGC